CGGGCGGGACCGCGGCAGGTCGCCCAGCAGCCGCCCGTTCCGCAGCCCCGCTTTGTAGCCGGTCTAATAATGGTTGGCAGTTTCTGGAAGCGGGGTGAGGAATGACAAACGGGTGCCAGTAATCACAGCAACAACCGGATGGCAAGCACGAGTTCACGTTCATTAGCTCTAACCACTTAATTGCTATTAATCTTTCATAATCAGCTAAGTGAGCCAGACGTGATTACGTGTTTCGCTCGGTTATAAGCCGAATCAGTATTTACTCTCAGGACATGAAACCCTCCATAATTAGGAGGACGGTTTGCGGAGGCACAAGTTTCTCATCCTTTTATGTCCCTGCACGCAACTTTCTAGTGAAAACATTGCTAATACGCTGAAGTCCCGAGAAACGAGAGACATTTCTCCGGACATCTTTCCATTTGTATTCCCAGCTCCCGTTGTGTTTCCTCTTGCAATGAATGCGGTGAAATTTTCTCTTCCGTCACGAGATTTTAAATAAGGCCGCCGAAAGAAAGTAGCATCCGCAGTACAGGGTTTCGGAGCTTTTTGAGCTCCATCACATCCAAGCAAATCACGGTGCAGCCGAAGTGACGGCCGCAGAGGACCTCAGCCCCGCCGAGACCTCTGCTCCACCGAGAGCCCCTCGGTGTCCCAGAAAACAGTGTCTTTTGGCGGGTTTATGACCGACGACTTCAATTCTATAACGAGCCGGTTTGTGGTGGGTGTAGAAAACAGCACTGCCTTGCACGGCAGGATATTATGCACGCGAATAAAAATAATGAGCTCATGAGCCAAGGTCGGATCTCTGAGAGCATCCACCCCGTTTACAAGTGGCAGGACGCGTCCCTCTCCCTCAGCCCCGGGGCCCGTGATGCTGCCCCGGCCCGGAGCAGCCCGCTGCCTCCTCTGCCCTGCCCGGGGAGGACAGTCCCCGTGGAGACTTCGCTCGGCCGCAGACAGGGCGACGTGCCGAGGTTGCAGGGCCTCTGCCTGGGGGACAGTCCTCGCCTTCCCCCAGCAGCGGCTCTACGGGTGCTCAGCGCCCCGCGGAGCCGCATTGCATTTTCCACTGACACATTGCACGGGAATCTGCATAACACAAGAGATAGCAGCAGCGCTGCAGAAAGTGGCTGTGTTCTCCCCCCGAAAAAAAAAAAAAAAGTTTGCTTTTATTCTCCCCCTCCCGAAGTTATCTCATTTCCTCAAATACATTTGCGATGATTTAACACAGATAGGACTGCACTCAAGCTTTTAGTGCAGGCTTTTAGTATTTGCTGTCTGTCCTCCGCCTGGTCTCTCCCAGGAAAAACAACCTATTTTTTTTCATCACCTCCCTCGCCAGAATTTGCCGATAGTAACTGTGTCTTTCGGAAGTTGCTTGTCTTGTTAGTGTTCACTGTAGGGGGAAAAAAAAAAGAAAGGGAAAAAAGAAAGGGTCGTCCAGAACAAACGAAGAACGCAAACGAAGAGGAAAAAAAAAATCGATTTATATTTCCCCAAACCTTTCCCCATGCCCACTGCGTTCCGCTGTTACCTTTAACTTGAGTGGACTTTTAATAGCTAAACAGAACAGAAAAGCTTCCATTTTCTACTGCCTCTTTAAAAAAAAAAAAAAAAAAGTCGGTTACGATAATGAAAAGAATTAACAGCAACGCGGGGAAAATTGTTACTTCCCCCCCCCCCCCTCCAGATCTGTGCCACAGCTTCTCATCTCCTTATTTACTTCAGTCTTAAAGAGTCCATTTCGAGTGGGAGAAAGTTTTCTCGGGACTCCCTGCGCGGCCTCAGGGCAGCTCTTAACGGGCGGCTGAGCACTGCGGGCGTTGAACTTGAGCTCTCGGGTCACGGGCTGGTGCTGGCCGTCCCCTGACTCCCACCTCTGCTCTGAAGCAGCGCGGCGACCTTGGGGACCCTGACCCGGGAGTAGCTGCGACCTAAAACGAAACATCGGCCGAGTTGCTTTGAGACGGGAGTAACGCTTTATCATCTGCATTAAAACCTGTCTGTGTGCAAAGGCAGCCCCAGAAGACATCATGTAGTCATTAATTAACTTTGCAAAGCCGGAGGGGGCGGGGGAGGTGACACGGTGCTTCAGGGTCCGCGTGACTTGGGGACAAAGTCACGGGCAGAGCGGGCAGCGCCCGCGGCCACGCCGCGCAGTGTCGCCGGAGAGCCACCAGATGGCACCGCAGTGCCTGCCGCATTCAATATATAAAAAAAAACGCGGGTTCCTGCGGGGCGGGGGGGCCGCGCATCCCCCGCGCACCGCCCGGCGGGACCGACACCCTCCCACCTCCACACCCCCCGCCGCCTGCTCCCACCCCGCCGGAGACCTTGCGCTGCCGCGGATAGTCCGCCGGCCTTGAGCGCCGCCCTGGGCCAGTGTTGGCAGCCTGTCCCGCCGGGGAGGAGGAGGAATGAGATATTCCCGTCCGTCTTCCTAAACGCGCTCTAAGTAGTGAAAAGCTGGCCGAGATATTATTTGGCTGATTTAACACGAACTTCATTTCAATTAAGTTGCATGACCTTTTTTTCCCGGGTAAGGTTTAATAAACGGGCACTGAAATACTCTTTGATGCCTCGAGTAATAAAGTTCAAGGTTAAAATGAAAAGAAGTTTGGCCATAGGCCCAAGCAGCTATTTAAACTTAGGCGAACAACTGAGTAAACAGCGTCTAACAAAATCTCGCATATTTCGGCGGTCTCTGTAACTTCCTCCCCCTTTGCCCACTAATGTCACCGTAATGCCGGAGGTTCTTTAGACTGAGCTGTTGGTTTTGAAGAACTATAAACAGATGCCGAAAGGTTTTTAGGCTGTAGCATCCTTTTGGGGGCGGGGGGGGGGGGGGGGAAGGAAAAAAGGATAAATATCGGTGCAGTAAATGCACCTAGTTTGCCGGGAATATAAGTATCAGATAACTAGTTTATTAGTGGGTTGATGGTTTGAGGGAACTGATTAACTGCATGGCAGGGAATGGTTTTGTTACCTTACATCAACTTAGTGGAATATTATTAACGTCTTTTACGATATGCTATTTCCCTTGCATATGAATGTAGCTGTATTTTAAGATACATTGTACATAACCTGAGGTATCAGTATTACTTAAAAGCTGCAAAATATAAAATAACACTTATAAAGAAAGATCATCCACAGCCGCCCTTGCGTGTAGTATATTTTTCTCACGTTGGGGCTTTCCATATATTCTTTTCCATCCTCTCCAAATAACTTAAAAAGCGTACCCTCCTTTTTAGTGGTGCAGTAACATTTCTGGAGTCTAAAGTTGTGCCGGCTTTGGTTGTGTGCGCACACGAGTGCCTCGGAGATGTGGTATCTCAGCTGCGGTTTCCGACAGAGCAGGGCGAAAGATGCTCGCCCTGTTACAGCCTTTAAGAAAACAGACGAGGGCGCCAAACGACAGCAATAAACCCGGCCGCAGGCTTCCGCTCCGCCTCCCGCCCCGCCGGGCCCGGCTGAAAAAAACCCGCGGTGCACCCACTCAGTGAGACCCGAGGTGGGGTGCAGCAGCGGGGACACCCTCCGTCCCGCCGGGAGGGCAGCGCAAAGCCCCCGCGCCCGTCCCGGCCGGGGACCCCAGACCGGCAAGGTGGGGGGAGAACGTCTGCGGGCTCTGGTCGCGGCCCCGCGGCTTCAACCCCGCTCCCCTCCGCATCGGTCCGCTCCGCCGCCGCGCCCGCGGGCAAGGAAAAGTTGATATTTACTTTTGTCTGGTTTTGGGGCTGTAAAACGCAGGACACCACACTGCAGTCTAAATTCACATTTCAAAGGGCTGACATAAAACTCTCATTAATGGAAGGCTGGATTTTGCAAACAACGCCTAGAATGTTTCCTAAATATTTTGTGGAATGTTTAGGGAGACTTTAACACGTTATTAAAAAAAAAAAAATCTGACAAGTATCCCATTTTCGACCTATGAATCATGCGCAAGAGCACAAGAACTTAGGAGATGTGTGTGACTAACATTAGCAGGAACAGCTCTCCTCGCAAAAAAAATCAAACCCTCGTTTAATCACAGGAAACATTGGGGTGTTTCTCCGGGCGATGATACCCAGATTCCCAGGGTCCCAGTACTAGATGATATGGGTGAAAAAAAATCACGGCGAGAAAAAAGGTTGGGCAGCTCTCGAAGCGCACTCCAGAGATGCTAACGACAAAGGATTTATCTTCGTTTAAATGGTTGCCATCAGCGTCATTATTACTAGCAAAGTTATCACTGAAGGGAGACTTTCCGACTGTCACGTCTGCCGAGCGCGGCAGCCCGTGTCCCCTGCAGCGCGGCGACGCTGCGCCCCGCGGCACCCGGCAAAGAGCGGAGGGATGAGCTAACTGAGCCACAGGTAACTTTGGAGAGAGGGTGCTAAAGGTGATGTCTCTGCTAGCTCGAAGCCTGTAGGCAATAAACCCCCATCACTTATTTCTATTAGTTTGTTTGTTTTTTTTTTTTTTAATTTTTAATTGCGTAGACTTTATCGGCGGTGGGGAGGGAAGAAGCGGGGGGCTGGAGAGAAACCTGCCGGGAGGATAAAATGGCAAGGCCGCGGAGTGTTTTAAATCACGAATGCATTTAATGTCCTTCGGTTATTTCCCCCCCCCATCATACCGTACAACAGCCAGTATTGTCCCAGAGGGGAGAAAAATATCGCAGGATAGCTTCGTCGATGAGCAGGATTATAGAAAGTAAAAAGGAGATCATATTTAAGGACTAAACGAAGAAAAATATATAATAATATGTTATAATCTAATAAATATTTTAATTTCCAGGCAACTGTTGTAGGTGCCCTCGAATCAGTGCGTGCCGGCAGCAGCGGTCTTATAAAGTCTGGGCATAAGGTTCGCGCGTGTGAGGGGGTGCGTGGGGGTGTCAGTGTAAATTCCTAAATAAAAGTACTAATGCAGTCTGGAAATGGGAGGGAAAAGTAAAGAGATATTAGAGGCGGGAGGTTCTCGGTCCTCTGGTCCTCTTCCAGCATTTCCTCGCGTTGTGATCTAAAATCCGCCTCAGAAAAAAATAATAATAAAGAAAAGCATTATCGAATATTTAGCATGTAGTTCTGTCCGAGGACAAATGAGAAAGAAGCTGCATCATTAGGACCTAAAAGGCAACAAAACAAAAATCAGAGCATAATGATGCACCTAAATGAAGGGGGAAATGTTGCACAGCTCATTTTATTAATCAGACTGTCAATTCCACCCCAGAGGCCAAACCCCAGAGCAATTCAAGCAAGATCTGATCAAGCTAAGGACAAGAGCTTTACTCCTCACTTCTTGTCTTTCTTTCTTTCCACCTGGATATATTTGTCTGCTCTGAAGCCGCCTTCATTATCCACTGACAGGAGCTTGTATTTATTTGCTTATAAACCTGTTACAATAAATGATTATTCGAACAGCGTCATTCGTACCTTAATGACGAGCACCACTTTTTGATGAATGACATTTCGGGCTAGAAAGGATGTATGGGTCATTTTGACCAGTCATTCCCTCGCTTTGGCATCCCACAATTTTTACGCCTCCCTCAAAAAGAGATAATAATATTTAGAGACACTTGCCGGGCTGAATGTGAATTAGCCCCTGCTGCAGCTCATCATTAGTACAGGACCAGCCCTGCAACTTTGACATTTTTTATAAAGCTGAGATGATGGAAAGAATAAGAAAAGAGATGATCCTGATGGAGAGAGGGCTGCACAGCCCTACAGCTGGCAAAAGGCTCTCGAATTTGTCAGACTCAGCTGGAAATGCGGTGCTGGAGGCCCTTGAAAATTCTCCGCACAGTGGTCGCCTCAGCCCGAGACTGACTGCCGCCTCCCTGCACAGCGCTATAGGGGACATCTCCGCCAAAGGCAAATTTGAAATAGACACTTTATTCAATCTTCAGCATCCGAGCAGTGAAAGCACCGTCTCCTCCGAAATCCCGCCGTCGGAAAGCAGGAAGAAAATCAGCCTTTATTCCGAAGTTGCTCAAGAGGCAGATATGAACAGTGATGTGGAGGTGGGCTGCTCCGCGCTCCGCTCCCCAGCCAGCCTGACTTCCTCCCAGCTGAAGGAAAACAGTAACAAAGGTAACTCTTCCTTTATCATCTCCATCTAAGCCCTGCACTTTGCCAACCGGCTTTAAAAACCGAAGCAAACCCACCGCCACCGCCAAAGTTGCTCGCCTCTGCACCGGCGCTCTCTCTTCTGCGAAGACAGAGCTCCAGGCTGTAAAATATTATTGTGATTACTGCGCTATCCCGATAGCTGAGACACACTGCCCAGGCAGACCCTGTGCGGGTGCGTGCGTGTGTGTGTGTGCATGCCCAAAACCATTGGTATGTAGATATATATCCAGAATATATGGGGGCACAAATATCCACCCACCTATATTTAGGGAAGGCTTTCTCTTTATTTTTCCTCGCGCTCTTGGAGCTCTCGGCGTCTCTCGAGCTGTGTATATGCGTATATATATACATAGATTAAATTAGAGAGAGAGAGAGAGGAGTGCGAGGAAAGTGTCCATATTTGTCTGTGTGTGTCCTTTTCTGTGTATATGGAACGTGCCGTCCTGTGTCCACCTCGGGGTAATTGGGCATTGTTCACTTTTCCTCTGCTTGTAACAGGGGGTTTGGAACAGCCTCGTCTCCTTCCCGCTTTGCGGGGCACGGTGATGGACGATGGCTGTTATTATTGCTGTAATTGGGGAGGGGGAGCCAGGTGAGCGGTGGATTTCCTAGGGGCCACAGTCCATGCCTTTTTCGTCAAATGCGCCAGGGAAAGGAAGGGATCCTCGACGTAAAGCTAGAGGAAAAAAAAAAAAAAAAAAGAATAAAAAATTGGCTTTTATGGCTGCTCTTATTTTGCCCGTCTGAAACGAAAA